AATGCTAATGACTCCCAAACTTGGAGTTCCAAGCCCTAGTTGTCCCTTGGTCTTCAAATCCATATAAACATTGTCATTCTGAACATCACAGCTGATGTTTAGGAGAGCATCACAACTGAACAGCAGTCTTGGCTCCACCTCCAAAACAAAATGTCACAGTCGAGATTGACTCATCTCTGCCTCTCACGCTTATCTATCCACTCCCCTATGAAGTATATGTATCCTCTTTTTGCAAATTCCACTCTATTTTATTATTTTCAACAACCATTGACATTTGTTTGAACTACTGCATTGAATTGCAAACTGATCTTCCTGTTTCTCCCTTACTCCTGCAATCTCTTTTTACCACACCAGCCAAAGAAATCCTTTCAAGCCTTTGTCACATCTTAGCTAAGAATTCCTTGTGCATTGAGCACCTCAAAGACCAAGCTCTTACCCTGCCCTGCGAATGCCATCTGATCTGGCTGCACTGCCACCTCTCTGATATGCTCTCCTAACATTCAACCATTCTGCCCTTTCTGCCACAGACAAGACTGGGTTTTCACTGTTCCTGGAGCAGGGTGAATATCCTATCACCTCTGGTCTTCTGCATTGCTCTCCCCTCTGCCAGAAACACACTTCCCCATTCCTCATTTCTTTAGGTCTCTGCTCATGTATTAGTTCAGCCAAGAAGCCAGATCTATCTAAATCGAACCCACTGCCACCTCTGTCCCTGATGTGCCTGTGGTCTCCTCTCTAGTACTCATCATCCCTGTCATGTTGTATATTTATTTTCTGTTTCCTGTTTTTATCTCCCCAATTGAAGTTAGAACACAGATTCCAGGAGAACAAAAACTTTGTGGTCTCTGTTGGGGCATTCGTGGATCTAGGATAGTGTGTGGTATGTGGGGGACAGCCCACAGTGTGGGTGGATTAGCTGCCCCTTATTTCGGGTCTCTGTAGCGGTTGACACTGATGGCCACATCCTCTTAGGACATCCTCCTCCCTCTTTTGGTTTCCTCTGCTTCTCTACTACTGTCAGGCTGCTTCTACGGCGCCTCTTCCTTTCCTTGACTGTTGACTGTTGATAGCCCTCTGGGTTGAGGCCTTTGCCCTCTTTTTCCCTCATCTGTACACTCTCTCTTCATAACTATCCACACCCTAATGTTATGACTAGCACAGACACCAACCCAGATGACAGGCATGTAAACTCAGGCTCCATTCCAGACCTTCCCCTGGGATTCCAATCTTGGCTGTCCAGCTGCCCTCTGAATACCTTTGCTTGGGAATGCTCAGGGAAGCCTACAGAGGGCTCTCTAGAGATAGCCTGAAGACTTTTCCTCAAACTCATCCTCTTTTTTAAAATTTTTTATTTATTTTTTATTATTTAATAGAGATTTTTACTATAGGGTATGTGTGCTTGCCGGAGACAGAAAGTGAGAAATCACTCCCCTGGGTAGGGGATGGCCATACCACAATCCTTTCTCCTCCGTTCTCTTTGAGGTTCTGCGCATTCAAGAACGTGCACCTGGCGTGTGTTTACCCTGCTGGGAACAGGATTTGAACCACAGTTCACTGCATGGGAGTCCAGTAACAACCATAATACCATCTGCTGGTCCCGAGACTCATTCTTTACTCACTGCCTTTCTTCTCATCAAAAGGCCCCCAAGAATTGGGCCTGTTTTCCTTACAATTATTTAAAAATAACTGCTCTCCTTCAAGCATTTATGTACATTCTCTAGTCCTCCCAATGACTGCAGCACATTAGTTACTGTTTTATAGATGAGAAGTCTTTCCTGACCTTCCTCAACAGCCTTCGCCATTAGGACTAGAAATCTTCATAAACTTTTGCTTTTTTAACTGCTACAAAACAAAGATTTGTGTTTTCGTATTTTTACACTTGATGTTGTATGCTCACCACCATTTTATGTTTTATAATTATTCTCTTGGAAGCTGGGGCAGCATGTACATATTTCAAAAGTACAGTGAATTCATGTCACCTGGAGTCAAGGGCCTTACCCTCTGGATTTCTGTATTCTCTGTTAGTGCTTCTGTGATTATGTAGGAGGTGTTCAATGAATATTGAATTTAAAAATGAAAGAATAAAGTAAAACCATGCTTTTCTGTGCTACTTTGCAGCACCTGTTTTAGCATTATTTAACAACATAGTGCATGAGGTGAACATGTTTTCTAAACCCAAACTCAGAACATTGGCCTAAGAAGCCTGTGTGTCCTTGCAGGAATTTGAGTCAAACCTAAGGTCTGGACTGTCTCAGGTGATCACTCCCCTAGAGTTGATACAGAAAGCACTGAGAGTAAAACTATGAGCTCCTTTTGGTTCACAGGAGCCACATTTCTAATGTATAAGAAGAAAGAGGTTTAATTTTTCAAAATTGGCAATCTTCTGATGCAGAAGATGGAGAAAAAGAGGCAAGAAGGTACAATGATATGCTGCTTTATCAGGCCAAATATTCTGATTTTTTAATTTAGAAAACATGTTCCTCTTTTTAAAAATTATTTTATTTAACTTTATTTATTCATTAATTTATTTATTTCAATTTGACCAGAGGCGGATAGAGTGAGTGAGTGAGAGAGAGAGAAAAAGCCACCAGGTCCAGGACTTGAACCTCAGTCAGCCATGTGGGAGTCCAGCACCCTTAACCACTAAGCCACCTGTCAGTCCCCAGAAAACATGTTCCTCTTATGCACCATGATGTTAAATAATGCTGAAGCAGTTGCGGCAGAGGGTTGCTAAAAAGCATGATTTCACTTTATTCTTCCATTTTTGAATCCAGTATTTAAGGAACACCTACTACATAAGCGTAGAGCTAGAATCAGAGGAAAGCAAGAGGTTAATATGAGTGGATGTGAGGCATGCATTTTGCTTCACTGCTAACAACCGCAGGCTCGAGGCTCCCGATTCTTCCCCAGGATGGAATGTAGGGTACCTTCGTGAGCTCTCACACAGCAGCAGCAGCTGAGTCCCTCCAGAACATGGCTGTGCCGGCAGCCATCTCCCCGTGGCTCCCCTTCTTAATTGAATGAGAACCGGCAGGTGACTGGTGCCGTGACAGGGAATCACAGACACTCTCAGCTGTCGCTGTGTGACGGTCTCAATACACAGCCTCTGAGAGCAGCCCCAGATTCGGCTTAGGGGTAGGGCATTCGAAGCTTGTCCTCGGATCATTATTTTTCCTTCAAAACCACTATTTTTTTATTGTATGCAATTAAGATGATGAGTAATGATACATGTGACCTATTTTACAAAATAACGCTATAGCCTATGGCCCAATATTACTAAGAAATGATAAATACATGAACGTTCTGTATTTTTGTCCTGATGTTAATGACAAGCAGTGATAAGAAAGTGGGCTAGAGATCAAAGAATCGTTCTCCCTCCCAAAATATCAGCTTTTTGTTTTATTCGCAGAGAATCTGTGAATAGTATATGTTTGCTTGCCACAAAATGGTGAGAACCGTAGAGAGTAAAGGAAGCAGTTTGGTGGTGTGCAGTAAGCTAGAAAAGGTAAGCATTGCTGTTAATATTCTGGTAAGCCTCAGGCTTCAGAAACACGTAAGTTTTCACCAAGCCTTGGATATTAAAGAGAGTAAAGACAAAACGAAATAGCAGCTCTGAGTGAGACTCACTAAGTTCCAGTCCCAGTAAGGGTGACAGGCATTAAAAGAAGCACATTTCAAGTGTCACTCAGTGAATCTATTTCTAGGCCAGATAGATAAATAAATAAATAGAATGATTAGCGAAGCTACTCGAAGCTAACGGGCAGAGACATTTAGAAACTATGTACACTGGAATACTATGAAGACATACATAAAGGGTCTTTAAAAAGTTCAAGGGAAATGAATATTTTGAAAACCAATACACTGATTTCACATGTTTTTTGCTCTATGATAAACACGTATCTAATTCTATAAGGTTTTTGAAGTCCTCTTGGAATGGTATAGATAGAAAGTTTATGTTAATTATGTTTATGTTATTTAATTAGAACATACTGATTTAGTTCTAAGCCTACACAATACAACAAGTAGTTGACAAAAAATAGAAACAAAATGTTGAGAGACTAAGAGAAAAGAAAGTATTCCAAATGGGAAAAAGAATGGAGGCATTTTACTAAAACTAAAAGACATTAGATTCAGGAAAAAGAAGATTTTTAATGTAGTTCAGAGTTCCTCTAACATTTTAATGATCATAACCTTGAAGGTGGTGGCGGAGGGGTCCCAGGAGCAATTAATATTAGTCTATAGCCTCAAAACTTATTCTGGTTGTCAGAAAAGTCCAATGCTTAGCTAATGATGCTCACAGCCCTGCATTTGTCTAAAACTTTCATCCGTGTTGCTGTCTGCTGGCAGAAGGCTTACACCTTTGCTCTTAATAAAAGAAAAAGGGCTCTTAGCTAAGTCTCCTAACCATTAAAAACAATTGGTTTTATAGCCACTTTCAAGTCGCCCTCAGAGAAAGCTCCTACCGAAACACATTGACTTTGATGTGTCATGGAGCTTAATCAGACGTTCTAGAGTCAACAAATGGTAAGAAAAAAATCCCAATAAAATGTTTTAAAAAAATCGCAAGTCAGTTTGATGGAGTCTGAGCTGCCTGTTTATAGTGCTTTTGGAGATCTGCCAGTGTTAAATAGGATCCAGTTGGTGTGGACTGAAGGCTTCCTGGCAGCAAATCAGGACAGAAAATCTGACCAAATAATGTCTTTCCGCGTAAGTGACAGCAAAAATCTGTTCTCCGGGAGTGACTGCTGTGAGTAAACGGGCAGATATTTTATTTAAGCATGGATGTGTGAAAGAAAGTTGTCATTTTCATGTTCTGAAGAATCCAATAGAAAACGTAAAATGTTTTTCCAACATCTATTGTTTTAATGAAATTGGACATTCTAGAAAAAAAAAATCATCAAAAGTTAATGAACTCACCGTTTTTCTTTTTTTTTTTTTTAAGAAAGCTTGAAATTTCATATAGAATTAAAAAAAAGTAAAATGCCACTGTTAATTTTCAGGAAAAGGGAAGCGATCAAGGCAAGCAAAGGAGGAAGCAATGGCAGAAACTGACCAGTTCCGAATCCAGAGAGAGAAGGAATTTCGAATGAGACAATCTAAGGTAAGGGAGAAAGTCAGCATTTGGGGACCAGCAGATGGTGTAATGGTTATGTTGCTGGACTCCTATGTAGTTGATCACAGTTCAAGTCCTGCACCCAATGGCTTAAAATTCAGGCTGGGCATGTGTGCATGCATGCCCTAACTCCCCAGAGGGTAGAAGAGAAGGGATCGTGGCATGGTCATTCCCACACCACCCCCGCCCCACCGGGGGTGATTTCTCACTTTCTGTCTTTCTGTCTCTTTGATGAACACATGCACCCTATAGCAAAAATCTCTTTTAAAAAAAAAAAAAACGCCAGCATTTATTTTTTTGCGTAGATAGATACTGAGGTATTAATTTGAGAGGTTCTTCAAAGACAGTTTATGGGAAAATGCATATCATGAAGAAATCACATACAGATTTCAAAAAATTTTGAAATAAATTTGTATTTTAATTTCATTTTCCATTGAGTTTTCGAAGCCCCTGATAGTCACAAGGTGTGATGTAGAACAGCAGGGGAAACACGCTGCACTCAGCAGTGCAGCTCAGCCAAGGCTAAACATCGGAATAAATCTTAATCACAACAGAATTTCAGATTTTGCATTTTCACTTTCAAAGCATTTTTGATTTTCCACACAGAGGGTCCATCAATCACTATGATCTAAAGTATCGTATACGTTGAAAATATATTCTTGAATATACAAGTGGAAGGGATTAAAGTATTCCCTTCCACAGATGGATAAATTTTAGCAAGGAAAAAAACCTTCAGAATGCCTATTTTTGGATCTATTAACATTTACTAGCGGAATCAATACAAGGTGTTACTAGCTAAGTGTAGAATAAATCGGCTAGGTCAAGTTTTCTTCTGTGAGTACAAAATTTGCAAATGACCAGAGTAGTTACTGCTGCAAGTGGCTGAAGCCTTCTGGTATTACCTTACATATATTCCTTTGCAACCAGCAGGCTTTGTCCATTCAGTATGTATGTTTGCATCTGACTGCCAGAGGGCATGTGGGCTCACCAGAGAGAAGGGGTGGGATGGGAGAAAGCACTCCCCTCATAGGATGTGGTCATGCAGCAGTCCCTGGGATTTGAACTGTACGGTCGGCCATATGAAATCTGGCTCCCGTAAACACCACACTATGAGGCAGTCCCTAAATCATTGATTTAAACACAAAGAAATACTTCTTCCTTCACTAATATTTTAAAAAATATCTTTGGTTTACAGTAAAAAAACAAGTGCATGAAACTTTCAGAGCCAACATACTCCTTTACACATTGCAATGTAGAGGAAAAGATTGAAAGTTTTAAACTCCATGTGCTGTAACTAAAATTTGATATTTCTTCGTCTTCAATAATAATATGCATAAGCTCTGTGCAGGAGCTTGACTTAGAAACACACTACAGTTTGCAAATCTCTCCCTTTACAGCCTTTATCTTAGTGACCATGGATAAAGAGTTCATGTATTGTGGAATTAGATCAATTCTACCCCATGGTAGGAAAAGGTTTTATGTTGCTGGACTCCTATGTAGTTGATCACAGTTCAAGTCCTGCACCCAATGGCTTAAAATTCAGGCTGGGCATGTGTGCATGCATGCCCTAACTCCCCAGAGGGTAGAAGAGAAGGGATCGTGGCATGGTCATTCCCACACCACCCCCGCCCCACCGGGGGTGATTTCTCACTTTCTGTCTTTCTGTCTCTTTGATGAACACATGCACCCTATAGCAAAAATCTCTTTTAAAAAAAAAAAAAACGCCAGCATTTATTTTTTTGCGTAGATAGATACTGAGGTATTAATTTGAGAGGTTCTTCAAAGACAGTTTATGGGAAAATGCATATCATGAAGAAATCACATACAGATTTCAAAAAATTTTGAAATAAATTTGTATTTTAATTTCATTTTCCATTGAGTTTTCGAAGCCCCTGATAGTCACAAGGTGTGATGTAGAACAGCAGGGGAAACACGCTGCACTCAGCAGTGCAGCTCAGCCAAGGCTAAACATCGGAATAAATCTTAATCACAACAGAATTTCAGATTTTGCATTTTCACTTTCAAAGCATTTTTGATTTTCCACACAGAGGGTCCATCAATCACTATGATCTAAAGTATCGTATACGTTGAAAATATATTCTTGAATATACAAGTGGAAGGGATTAAAGTATTCCCTTCCACAGATGGATAAATTTTAGCAAGGAAAAAAACCTTCAGAATGCCTATTTTTGGATCTATTAACATTTACTAGCGGAATCAATACAAGGTGTTACTAGCTAAGTGTAGAATAAATCGGCTAGGTCAAGTTTTCTTCTGTGAGTACAAAATTTGCAAATGACCAGAGTAGTTACTGCTGCAAGTGGCTGAAGCCTTCTGGTATTACCTTACATATATTCCTTTGCAACCAGCAGGCTTTGTCCATTCAGTATGTATGTTTGCATCTGACTGCCAGAGGGCATGTGGGCTCACCAGAGAGAAGGGGTGGGATGGGAGAAAGCACTCCCCTCATAGGATGTGGTCATGCAGCAGTCCCTGGGATTTGAACTGTACGGTCGGCCATATGAAATCTGGCTCCCGTAAACACCACACTATGAGGCAGTCCCTAAATCATTGATTTAAACACAAAGAAATACTTCTTCCTTCACTAATATTTTAAAAAATATCTTTGGTTTACAGTAAAAAAACAAGTGCATGAAACTTTCAGAGCCAACATACTCCTTTACACATTGCAATGTAGAGGAAAAGATTGAAAGTTTTAAACTCCATGTGCTGTAACTAAAATTTGATATTTCTTCGTCTTCAATAATAATATGCATAAGCTCTGTGCAGGAGCTTGACTTAGAAACACACTACAGTTTGCAAATCTCTCCCTTTACAGCCTTTATCTTAGTGACCATGGATAAAGAGTTCATGTATTGTGGAATTAGATCAATTCTACCCCATGGTAGGAAAAGGTTTTCCAAAGGTCTCTTTCTTCGAATAAAAGGTCTTTTCTAGAATAGCGCGAACCATTCAGCGCAAGGAAGTTCTTATCAATATTTGGAAAAAGAAATGCTAAAACCCCAGTCCATATGTGTGTACGCCACTTCGTGATTGGCCCTTGGCACCTCTGTAGCCAAATTTTCTACCACCCTTGTCTCCACTTGCTGTTCTAGCCTTACTGGTCTTTCTGCTCTTCCTCAGACAGAACATGCCCCTGCTCTTCCTCTGCACACCATTCCTACTCCCTGAATTTTTTTTTTTTTTTTTGGATACATTTGTCTTTCCTTGATCTCTATTCACCTGTTAGCTGTTCTTCCTGATCACTCAGTCTAAAACTGTCTCTCTTTTTTTTTTTTTTGGAGAGGTTTTTGCTATAGGGCGCATGTGCTCGCCAGACAGACAGAGAGATAGAAAGTGAGAAATCACCCCCCAGGGGGGGATGGCCACGCCGCAATCCCTTCTCCTCCATTCTCCTTTCAGGATCTTGGGCATGCACGCACACGTGCCCGGCGTGAGTTTAAGCCACTGGGTCTGGGACTCGAACTGCGGTCGACTACGTGGGAGTCCAGCAACATAGCCATTACACTAACTGCTGGTCCCAGTCTAAAACTGTCTCTTAAAAATAAGGAAAGTAATAGTCTTTATCATTCACTCTTTTTGTCCATAGCACTTATTGCTATCTGATGTACTATGTATTTATCCTTTTTGTGTATTGCCCTTTCTTCTGGACTACCAACATCAAAACAGCAGACTCTTCATTTTGTTCTTTTATTTCCCTTGATGTTAAATAGGGTCTGCCTCATAGTAGGTGTGCAATAAATACTTGTTCAAAAATGAGTAACTAGGGGCCAACAGGTAGCATAGTGGTTAAGGGGCTCTGGACTCCCATATGGCCAATGACTATGGTTCAAGTCCCAGACCTGGCAGCTTAAAAATTATGCTGGGTGTGTGTACATGAATACCCAAGATCCTGACAGTAAAGGAGAAGGGGTTGTGACATGACCATCCCCCCCGGGGGGGGTGATTTCTCATTTTCCCTCTCACTGTATTTGTCTGTCTCTCTCTGCTGAGTGCACATGCCCTATGGCAGAGGTCTTAAAACAAAATGCCTTTATCCTTCCTATCAAATCCTCTCATAACTGTGACATACTAGGACCTGAGAAAATGATCACCTTTAAAATTAACCAGCTTTGATTATCTTCTGTAGGATATTTCTGATCTGGTACTTATTTCTATTTTTTCAGCAATAACAACATTGATCATAATTTTAAAAAGTGGTTGGATTAAATCTTTTGGAATATTATTTTTCCATGACAATTCTATTAGCTGTAAATCTGGCTCAGGTTATTTGTTCTCTTCTTTGGACATTCATTAAATCTCCTCATTGCTCTCATAATTAGAGTTGTAAGCCAATTTTATAGCTAGTTAATCAAAAGCTCACACAGAAAAGTCAACATGGGTAAGACTCGGCTACTTGAAGCATATTGGAAAACCATTAGCACAGATCTTTCCTTGGCATGACCTCCCTATGTCAGACACACTGCTATTCCAGTTACATCTCAGTTATTAGCCAGGGCAATTAGAAAGGCTGGGAGGAGACCCAAGAAGCCATTTTTCTTCCTGCTGTGGGTGTTGCACCTTGATGTTACTTTGTTCTATTGCTTTTTAGGACTTGTTAATATGTAGGTTTTTCAAGTCCTCTGACTTATTAACAGAAGCAGGTATCCCAGTGGATACCTCCACCCCACTGGGGGTTGCAGAGCAGCGAATACTGTTTTACCAAAGCCTATTTTATCCCTTGTTCATCATTGCTACCAGTATTGTCATCTTCTATTATAGATCATCTTCAAGCTCATCTCCTACTGAAGATGTTATTACATTACTAAAAAGGAACCTGGGCTACAGTGGAACATTACATTTACTTTTAATATATGTACAAGTTAGATGGACCATGGATCTAAACAGCAGCCCTGAGTGAAGTTGCCTTGGCATATTAGAGATTTTTGTATCTATAGTCTTTCTTACTGAATACATATCATGAGAGCATATTTTTTTCTTTTTTAAAAAATTATTTTATTTAACTTTATTTTATATTTATTTATTTTTAATTTGATCACAGAGGGACAGAGTGAGAGAGAGGGAAAGTGAGAAAGCAAGCCACCAGGTCCAGGGCGCGAACCATGGTCAGGCACGTGGGAGTCCAGCGCCCTTAACCACCACACCACCTGCTGGCCCCAGGAGAGCATATGTTTTTCTACCCTGAAGTGATCACAAATTCAGAGCACGAAACTGTGTGTTGCCTATGACAGTGAGGTCTAAAGCTCTAGCTTACCTTTAATTGGAACATTTAAACAACCTATGAGGAAACTCAGTGTATGTGGAAAGCTTTTGCCGCCACCACCAGTCACTGCACTGTAAGACTGCATACATCAGTCTCGATATCGTGGTTGTGAAAATTAACATGGAGAAGTCCTTAAATGGTACTGTTGGACCAAACACATTATTACATGGCACAGAATTACCACCTTCTAATTGTACAGTGCCCCAAACATTCAGGCAACAGCCTCCTGCCAATGCAAGCAATGGAACCCAGGTAACCACTTCTCTGTGCTAGCTGGAGTTCTGATCATTCTATTAAGTTCAGCAAACACGTAGTGAACCAGACTGTGCCAGACGGTGTCTGAGACACTAAGAATTCAACGGGGAGGCGAGGACACTGACCCTTGCCTTCGTGAAACTCGCATTCATTCAGTAAGCTCCCATGGGGATTAAGCCAACACTCCACCCAAAGATACGAAGGTATGGAATTCTTTCTTAGGGAGGCCATTGAGAATCATACATGAGGTAGTCGTGGTTGTAGTGCGGCCTAGGAAACTCAAACTCAGAAATAATATTGTATTTATTATGCAAGATGAGAAATAGAGTTATGGGATATTTACGAGGTATTACAATATTTCTGAAAGTGCATGACGTTATTAGCAAAACAACAATTGTGCATGCAGGATGATGAGAGGAAAAGTCCTACTAATGACCATTAATGTCCCCAGTGACCTGTTCTGCCTTAGGTGGCTGGGCTGATACCATCCCTGATAGCTCACTTCAGAAAATTAATGATGCCATAGCAAAGTGTATTAAGGAAACATGGGGACCAGCTGGTGGGGCTGCAGTAACGCGATGTTCTGCAATGCTGGACCCACATGGGCAAGGTCCTGGGTTCATGTCCCAAGGCCTGCCTGTGCATGTCAGGTGCATGTGTGTATACCCATTATGTGGACTGACTGAGGCTGAGGAGTGGAAGGTGTCATGAAGATCCTATTGGAGGTTCCTTTCTCTCTCTCTCTCTTTTTCTCTCTCATAGAAGAAATAAATGAATAAAAAGACTACAAATAATACTAATAGTGGCTACTTATTGCACTGAAACTGTACTGTCCAATGTAGTAGCCACTTTTCATGGGGCTAGGATCTGCTGGACATGTAAAATCATACCAAAGATGCGGTCCAAAAAACATGTTATATCATTACATTAGTTGTATATTAAAATAATATTTTAGATATATTAGTTTAAATAAATATATTAACACTCGTTATACCTACTTATTTTACCTTTTTAATGTGTCTTCTAGAAACTTAAAATTACATCTATGGATTGTTTCATGGCTCCTACTAGAATTTTTCTGGAAAGCGCTGCTGTTTGCTTTAGACTTGTGAATCTGATTTACATTTACAACAATTTCATCAAATAGGTGATGTCATCCCTATTTAATAGAAAAGAGAACCTAAAGTTGAGATTAACTTCTCTAAAGTCATACAGGATAGTTACATTGCATTAAACCAGCCTAATAATTATTTTTAAAACTACTCCAAAGAAATTAGATAATAGTTTCACAATAATATGTCTTGATTTTTAATTACTTGAGACATTAGGGAAAAAATGTTTTTAGTTTGATAGAATCCAATTGAAGACTTGAATTTAAATGTAAAAAGCTTGATTTGATAAAAATTATTGTGACGAGTAGTTCTCTTCTATTTTTTCTTTTTAAGTTTTGGCCATAGGCATGTTTGCTCACCAGAGAGATAGACAATGAGAGGGAAGGGGAGAATTCACACCCCAGGAGGAATGGCCATGCTACAATCCCCTCTTCCACTTTCCTCCTAGAATTTTGGGCACACACACACACATGTACTTGACATGAGTCTGTCCCCACCCGGCCCAGGACTTGAACTGTGGCTAGCCATGTGGAAGTCCAGCACCACAACCATCATGCCACCTACAGGCTCCTTCTTCCATTTTTATATATCTTCTTAACAAAGGAAATTTGGTCCACACCAAAAATTCGTTTCATAATTTTCACAAGTGACACTCCCTTTTCAAATTTATGAAAGTTAGCTGTCTTAGAAGTTGTATCTTCTCAAAATCATTTTCTTTGATCTGGGAAGCCTATACTGATTGAACCATAAACAGAAAAGAGCTTGAACACAGTAACCTCAACTGCATTTTATTTCCAGGCTAGGGCCTAGAAAGATCATGCAGATTCTAGAACTCAGAACAGCCTACGGACCCTGAAACAGAAGTCAATTCTTAGTGGAGTCTTTTGAATTAAATATGTCTTCCCTAAACATTCACAGATGAGAAAAACAAACAAAAAACTGGATTTAACAATATCATGCTTAAGAAAGGTCGAGTTTACAAGATAAATTAGGAGTTGTTTGTACCAGCAAAGGATAACTTTCAAAGTATTTCACTATAGAACTCAGTTAAATTAAATTTCCCTGATAAAATTATATTTTCTTCAAATTGTTACTTCATAGAGGAACTAAGAAAATAGAGCAGACATTTGAAAATACTGGGAATCACTGTCAATCACAGAGTAAGCAGAAAGATATATTAAACTGCATCTAAAATTATAATGCAACTAATGAATAAATATACCTCAATTCAAAAGAAAATAAACAGTAAAAATTTTTTGGATTATACCTATTACCCCCAAAATACCTATGCATATAAAAGTACCTAGGAGGGCATATAGTGGCTGTATCTTCCTGAAAAAGAAAAAAGAGAAAGAGAGAGAGAGAGAGGGAGAGAGAGAGAGAGGGAAATAAGTTCAGTTGGTTTTTTTTTTTTGGAGATATTTTTGCTATAGGACATGCATGCTCATGGAGAGACAGAGACGGAGAGACAGAAAGTGAGAAATTACTCTCCAGGTGATTTCTGGGGATGACCACACCACCATCACTTCTCCATTCTCCTCTCAAGATTTTAGGCACATAGGCACACGTCTCGGGCATGAATTTTAAGTTGCCGGGTCTGGGACTCGAACCATGGTTCAACTATGTAGGAGTGCTACAATGTAACAATTATGTCATCATCTGTTGGTCCCTGGACTGTGTATTTTTTTAAAAAATTGCTTTTTTAAAACTATCAAAAGTGGGTTTAATAGTGTCTTTCAACTTTGTGCATTGGACTTCCAATTCAGAAAGTAAGCAGTAGAGGGACCAGCAGTGGGTCACTGGACTTCCATGTAGTTCGCCTGTGGTTTGAGCTCCGGACCCAGTAGATTAACCTCACGACTAGGTGCATCTGCGTGCATGCCTAAAATCCCAAAGGAGAATGGAGAAGGGATTGTGGCATGGCCATCTCCCCTAAGGGGTGAGTTCTCGCTTTCTGTCTCTCTCTCTCTCTCTCTCTCTCTCTCTCTTTCTGGTGAGCGTATGTGTGCCCTATAGCAAAAACCTCACCAAAAAAAAAAAAAAAGTAAGCAGTAGGGAAGATATGGGACCTCAATGGAAACTACTATAAATGCATTAAAAATGTGATGAAAAGCTTGTGGGCAGAGTACAATTGTTGCATATTTATTTAAGTTGTACCACGTGGCAGTCAGCTTAGAAGAGGAAATAACCTTCCCCCGCTGGCTGGCTTCCATTTGTTAGGAAAATTCATTCTTCCCACTTGTGGTATCTGTGATCTCATCTGTTCTCTGCAAAATAACACATAAAAGGAATGTGTAATGTTTACATCGATAGGCTAAGACCAATTTAACCGATAAAACAGTACATTTTACTTCGCTGCAGGACGACGTGAACCTGCTGCTTTGTTTTGGCAGGTAATGGGCTCTCAGAGTCACCTGGCAGAAGAGATAGAAGAACACACTGCAGGGAAGATGCAGGGACTGAAAGGAAGCTACAGCATGGGCATGGACAGTGTGATCACGCGGCTTCTGGGCATGGTCTGTGACATAAAACCGGAAATCCACGTGAATTACAGAGCCGCCAACTAACCGCACACAACGCCCTGTAGAAACGGCTGCGTGGCCATCTCCTGGTGCCTCAGGGTTCCTTGTTCACAGTAAATATTCCTCTTAAATTGACCGGACATCTTCACGTTTCAGTGTGACGGAATTCACATGGGCACTGAATTAAAAAGTGAAATACAACAAAGCCGTCACTGTGTCTTTCCTGGTGATAGTTACAACCCTGTCATTTAATCTGGAGGAAGTCAGGAGTGCAGAGTAACTTTTTTTGACACCTGAAAGAAAAACATGGTCATAACAGCTTTTGACTGGGTGCAGGGTTTATTTTTTTTTTCTTTTTTAAACCAATTTGGAAAATGTATTCTTAGTTGTAGTTGTTAAAAAGTCATCTTTGGAGACCAGCAGGTGGCGGAGTGGTTAAGGCGCTGGACACTCCCACATAGCCGACCATGGTTTGAGTCCTGGATCTGGTGGCTTGCTTTCTCCCTTTCTCTCTCTTTCTCTCTCTCTCTCTCTCTGTCTCTCCCTCTCTGGTCAAATTTAAATGAATGAATAAATAAAATCAAATAAAATAATTCTTTTTTAAAAAGTCATCTTCAAAGGGAGCTATAATAATGACACTCACATGTATCTAAATTAAAGACATTGTCAAGGGTCTTATTTAATTCGCTGATCAATAAGGAAATCAGTAAGAAAGATATTATCATGGGTTCAAGGAACAATTTTTAAAACCCGATATTATTCACTTTCAAGTATATTTTTTAAATAAAAAGAAAAATTAGAACTTGATAGCATTAATGGTTTTGTATTTTCTTTAGGGCTTTTGCATACAGTGCATGCACTCACTGCAGAAATAAGAGAGAAAATGAGAGGGAAAGTGAAAGATCACCCCCTGGGAGGATGGCCATGCTACAATCCCTTTTCTTCCATTCTCCTCCTTGGATTTTGGCCACACATGCATGTGCACTCAGTGTGATTTTCGAGCCATCAGGTCCAGGACTCAAATCACAGTCAGCCATGTGGGAATCCAGCGCCTTAACTACCACAGCACCTGAACCGCCACAGCGCCTGATGGTCCCTTGTTGTTAAGAAAATTCCCAGGCCAGCTCTATAGCCTAATAGTTAAGGAAGATAGATCCTATATGGACGACTGCAGTTTGAATACCAGTCAACCCTATGGCTTAAAAATATGCTGGACATACATTTGTGTGCATGCCCCAATTCCTGACAGGATGAGGAAAGACGCAAAGGAATTATGGTGTGACCACACGATGGCCGGGCGGAAGGGAAGGTGCTTTTCTCCTTCTCCCTTTCTGGTAGTGCACATGCCCTCCTCTGGCAAGAAAAGAGAAAAAAAAGAAACAAACAAACAAATAAAAGAAGAAAAGAAAACTCCCAGGATACATACTAGGTTAGTATGACATTAGCCCAGTCTCCCAGTAATGACTAAGCTAAATTCTTGATAAACACTAGGTACTTCGTAAGGGCAATGTATAACCTTAGGAGAGGATTTCAACCCTCTGTGTAGGCAGTATTAGCATCCCCGACAACAGAGTGGAAGACAGAGACTAAGGAACATCCTGGACTTGCCTGGGGAGCGTGGCAGGCCTAGGCTGCAAACCTGGCAGTGTGACCCAATGTCCATGCTCTTCACCTCCCACCAAACCATCTCCTGGGTGGTTTCTTCACTTCCATCACTAAGAGTCAGGGATACCATGAAGGCTTCAATGTTCAAATAATATATGCATGCAAATTTTAATTATATTCCAAACAAAAGTTAGTACCTGTTTATTATTATCAAGCTATTCATATAATCAACTCCAAATAGAAACTGAAATGATTTCAATTGATCCTTATCTTGAATTACTATATCATTTCCCTCTAGTAGGCAAAGGTCAATTTTACCATACATTTTAACATCTCAAAAACAGTCCATTTTGACCAGCTCCACGGTCTGGAGGTTGGGAGAGTCAGCTCCCACAGGGTGCAACTGCATTTCAAGTTCGGACCCTGGCAGCATGAGGAGCATGCCTGGAGCATGTATGTATACATGCCCAAAATTCCACAGGGAGGAGTGATGGAGGAGTTGGCATTGCAGCATGGCCACACCCCACTGGACGGTACTTTATCCCACCCTCTCTGTCTATGGTGAGCGTACACACTCTCTGGCAATTAAAAAAAAAATCAATTTTATATTGACATTAGATAAAAAGAAAAATAATTGAATTATACTTATTTCTATAGTTTCTCAACTTTCAGGTCAAGGAACCAACTACATAACTAGTTTATTGGTTTCCTGTGGAAGATTTCTGCACTTACTGGAAAGACAACTGACTCCCCAGTTAAGGAACAGATGGGTATCAAACTTTCCTAGGAACACTGCTTCTCAATTTTTCTGAGAGGGAGAGGAGGCATCAAGTCAACTTGTCTTCATAAAATGAGGGCAACGATGGAAGATTTCCATTTCAACATGGATTTAGAGAATTCGACTACTCTATCCTACAGAGCTGAGAGATATAAATGCGAAGTTCTACATGTCATAAGTTATCATGTGAGAAGATAATTTTGAAACACATGGCCTTGTGATCTATGATAATATTTAGTCTTCTGCCTTATCTAATGAAAACCATCAAGATGTCAATTTTCTGGATATGAAAGCTTGAACAGGCATGAGTAACCTATCAGGGACATATCCTGAGGAATGTGTTGTCAGGTGATTTTTGTCAAGGTGCGAACATCATTGAGGGTACCCCCATTAACGTAGGTAGCATGATCTTCACCTCATCTGGGTATAAGGTCAGCCTGTTGCTCCTCGGCTGCAAACCTGTACAGCATATACTGCACTGAATATTGTAGGCAACTGGAGCACAGGGGTACATCTTTGTATATCTCAACACGTGTGGACACAGAAAATGTACAGTAACAACACAGTGCCACCAGCCCATGGCCTGGTGGCTGGATCCCATATGGCTGACCATGTGGTTCAAGTTCAGGACACAACAGCTTGAAAAACACATTGGGTGCATATGTGTGTGTGCCCAAAATTCCAAAAGGAGAATTGGAGGAGAAGGTATTATGGTGTTTCCATGTCCCATGAGAAATGCCTTCTCTCTCTCTCTCTCTCTCTCTCTCTGTCTCTCTCTCTCTCTCTCATTGCCTCTCTCCAGCAAATGCACAGGCCTACTGGCAAAATTTTTTTTTAATTAAGAAAATTTTTGGTATACTTGTATACTTACAAGTGACATGAGCTTCCAGAACTAGAATTTTCTCTGGGTTAGTGAATTGTGAGACAATGTAAAGATCTAGGACATGACTGAATCCAACTGTAGACTTTATAAACATTCTAAATTAGGCTACACTAAATTTATTTCAAAAAAGTTTCTTTAATAATAAATTAATCTTGGGGAACCAGCAGGTGGCATGGTGGTTAAGGCACTGGACACTCCCACATGGCTGACCATGGTTCGAGACCCATATCTGGCAGCTTGCTTTCTCGCTTTCCTCTCTCTCTCTCTGCATCTCTCGCTCTCTGATCAAATTAAAATAAATGAATGAATGAATAAATTTTAAAAAAATTAATTATTAATCTTGGCTTACTGCAACTTCTTTACATACTTTTAATTTTTTAAAACTCTTTGACTCTCTTGTAATAACTTAGCTTAAAACACAAACACATTGTACAGCTGCACAGAAATATTTTTTACATCATTATTTTATAAGCTTTTTTCTGTTCTTTTGTTCTAATTTGCAGATGGTATGTATACTCACCAGAAAGAGAGACAGAGACAGGGAGATAGCACCTCCAATGGGATTTGGCCATACTATAATCCCTTCTTTTCTCCATCCCATTGGGATTTAGAGTACACATGGTAACACAGTCAGCGTGTTTTTCAAGCTTCCAGAGTTGGCATTCAAACTACAGCCAGCCATGTAGGATATGGGGCCAGTCTTAAAAGATTTTTTTCTATTATATATATATATATACATATACACACACACACACACACACATATATATATATATATGTATATATATATATATATATACATACACACACACACATATACATATACATACATACACACACACTTTTTTTTTTTCCTACGGTGTGTATGTGCTTGCTGGAGAGAGAGAGAGAAGGAAAATGAGAAATTACCCCTTGGGGAATTGACCACACCACAGTCCCTTCTCCTTCATTCTCTTCTCAGGATTTTGGACACACACACACACACACAACAGTGTTTTTCAAGCTACCAGATCTGGGAGTCAAATCTCCAAGACAGCCATGTTAGTTTTGTTAAAATTTAACACATGAACACACACATTAGCCCACACTTACACAGGGTTAGGATCATCACTTCCACATTTTGTCCAACTAGAAGGACCATGAAGAGCAAAACAATATGCCATTGAGCCAAGCACAGGAGAGAGCAAGGCAGACAGGAGACGCAGCAGCACGAGTGTGTGAGGCCGCTGCCAGCATCACACAGCTTACTGTTTCCAGCAAACTTATTATACGTAGAGAGAATATACTCTAAAATGACACAAAGGACAGTATAGTAAATACATAGACCTTTTATCTTCATCAAATATTATGTACTACATATAATTCATATAATTGTATGCATTTTTCATGTTTTTTTCTTAGGGTTTTGTTCTGTTTTGTTTTGTTTAGGTTTTCTCCATAGGGCACATGCACTCACCAGAGAGAGAAAGTGAGAAGTCACTCCCCAGAGGCATGGCCATGCTGCAATCCCTTCTCCTCCATTCTACTCTCAGGATCTTGGGCATGCAAGAACACATGCCTGGTGTGATCTTCAAGCTGCCGGGTCCAGGACTCAAACTATAGTCAGCCATGTGGGAATCCAGCACCTTAATCACCCTGCCACCTGCTGACCCTTCTGCTATTGTTTCATAAGACTGGCAGAGTATTGGTTTGCTGACACTAGCATCGCCGTGACCATCTGAACAATAGGATGCTCTATGACATCATGATGCCGATGGCATTGCTAAGATGTAAGAGCTTTTCAGTTCCATTATAATCTTACACATCTACCCTCCCATATGGGGTCTGTCATCGATCAAAACATTAGGTGGTGCATGACTGTATTTTCTGGACCACCCAAGTTAATCACCTAAGCTAATTCTGAGCCTGTATA